TAGGTTTAGGGTAAAAGTTTGGCACAACATCATGGGCCGAAGGGCCTGTACTGTTTTATGTTCTATATGGGCATTCGAAAGGTGGGATAGACAAAGCACAAACAAGACGTGGCTGTTGGGTTGGGAGAGGAGAGGTTTTGAGAGAGTTTAAGTGACACAAAGAAGGGGATTTTGCCCTTGGGTAGGATGAGATCGCATTGGAGGAGGCGCAGAGAGTTGGTGGGGGGTGGGGGGTAGGCTGGTGGGGGGTGTTCATCAGAATGTTGCCGGGAATGGAATATTTTAGCTATGAAGAGAAGCCCGGGGGAGCTCAGGATGTTTTCTCTGGAGCACGGAGTCGTAGAGGTCTGCAGCATGGAAACAGGCCCTTCGGCCCAATGTGCCCATGCTGACCTCCCTACTCCCACCCCGTCCCAACCGTTTTCGCAATCTGAACTGGTCCCTCCGTACCCATGGGCCTGCCCAGATGTTTCTTAAACAAAACTGTACTCGCTTCCCAGCACTACAGCCCGTCCCAGGCACTGGCCACTCTCTGGGTGAAAAGAATTGCCCCTCTGCACCCTTTTGTATTTCTCCCCTCTCATATGCCCCCTAGTTTTATACTCCCCTCCCCTGGGGGGAAGCTGTTTGTTATCTATGACCCTCGTGATTTTATAAACCTCTATAAGGCCACCCCTCAGTCTCCTTGCTCTCCAGGGAGAAAAGTCCCAGTCTATCCAACCTCTCCTTATAATTCAATCCTTCCAGTCTTAGGAAGCATCTTTTCTGCACTCTTCCCAGTTTAATAATATCTTTCCAATAGTAGGGTGACCCAAACTGCACAGGATACTCCAAAAGTGGCCTGAGCCAACGTTTTGTGAAGCTGCAACAAGGCAGCCCGACTCCTATACTCCGTGCTCTGCCCGATGAGCAAGCGTAAAGCCTTCTTCATCGCCCTGTCTACCACTTTCCTGGAACTATGTACCTGTATCCCCGGAGAGAGAAAGGGGGTAGACCTGGTAGAGGTTGGGAGGTGATTAGGAGGGGCATGGACAGGCTGCATACAAGGCAGCCTGATACCAATACATTTAAAAAGCACCCAGGTGGGTACGTGAATAGGAAAGGTTTAGAGGGATGGGGGCCAAATGCTGGCAAATGGGACTAGGTTTATCTAGGACGTCTGGTCGGCACAGACGAGTTGGACTGAAGGGTCTGTTTCCGTGTGTACAACGCTATGACTCTATCAATCCCAGACGAGCCCCCAAACTCGCTCATGAATAGTCGGAACATAGAATGATACAGCGCAGGAACAAGCCCTTTGGCACACGATGTTGTGTTGAACATGACACCAATTTAAACTAATCCCTTCTGCCTGCCCTTGGTCCATATCCCTCCATCGAGTCATAGAGTAATGCAGCATGGAAACAGGCCCTTCAGCCCAAACTGGTCCATGCTGACCACAGTGCCCACTCAGCTAGTTCCAATTGCCTGCATTTGGTCCGTATCCCTCTAAACCATTCCTGTCCATGTACCTATCCAAATGTTTTTTAAATGTTGCTATTGTACCTGCCTGAACCACTTTCTCAGGCAGCCCATTCCATACATGCACCACTCTCTGTGTGAAAAAGTTGGCCCTCAGGTCCTTCTTAAATCTTTCCCCTCTCACCTTTAACCTATGCCCTCTACTTCTCAATTCCCCATCCCATATGCATTCACCCTATCTATGCCCCTCGTGATTTTATACATCTCAATAAGGTCACCCCTCATTCTCCTATGTCTCAAGGAATAAAGTCCTATCCTGGCCCACCTCCCCCTATAACTCAGGCCTACTGGTCCTGGCAACATCCTCAAAAATCTTCTTTGCACACTTTCCAGTTTAACTATGACTTTCCCATAACAGGGTGACCAAAACTGTACACAATTCTCCAAGTGCGGCCTCACCAACGACTTATACAACTATAACATAACATCCCAACTCGTGTACTCAATGCCTTGACTGATGAAGGCCAGCAAGCTAAATGCCTTCTTCACCACCCTGTCTACCTGTGATGTCGCTTTCAATGAATTATGTACTTGTACTCCTAGGTTCCTCTGTTCCACTACACTCCTCAGGACCGTACCATTTACTGTATAAATCCTACCTGGGTTTTACTTTCCAAAGTGCAAACCTCGTGCTTATCTGTATTGAATTGTGTTCGCCAATCCTCAGCTCACTCCCCCATCTGATCAAGATGCCTCTGTAATTTTTGATAACCTTCTTTGATATCAACGATACCTCCTAATTTTGTATCATCTACAAGCTTATTAATCACGCCTTGTACGTTCACATCCAGAGTATTTATGTAAATCACAAATAACAAAGGTCGTAGCACCGACCCCATGGCACACCACTAGTCCCAGACCTCCAGCCTGAGAAACAACCTTTAACCATCACCCTCTGCTTCCTACCAATTTTGAATCCAATTCGCTAGCTCTCCCTGGATCCCATGCAACCTAACCTTCATGACTAGCCTGCTGTGCGGGACCTTGTCAAAGGCCTTATTAAAGTCCATTTAGTTAACATCCATTGCCCTACCCTCATCTATTGGCTTGGTTACCTCTTCGAAAAACTCTAAAAGATTTGTCAAACATGACTTCCCGCACACACGTCCATGCTGACTATCCCTAATCAGACCTTGACTATCCAAATGTTGGTTGATCCTGTCTCTCAATATCCTCTCCAATCACTTGCTTAACACTGATGTCAGGCTCACTGACCTGTAGTTCGCTGGTTTGTCTTTGCTACCTTTCTTAAACATTGGAACAACATTAGCCATCCTCCAGTCTTCTGGACCTTCACCAGTGGCTAAAGATGAAGCAAAAATTTCTGCAAGGGCCTCTGCAATTTCTTCTCCAGCCTCCCACAATGTCCAAGGATGGACTTGATCAGGCCCAGGGGATCTATCCACCTTAATGCGATCTAAAGCTGCAAACACCTCCTCTCAGGTGATGTGTACGCAATCCAAAACATCCCATTTGTTTCCCTTATTTCCTTAGCATCCACGATTCTCTCCTTAATAAACACTGAGGAGAAATATCCATTAAAAATCTCCCCCAGCTCCTGTGGCTCCACACATAGACGGCCATGCTGATCTTTAAGGGGACCTATTCTCTCTCTAGCCACCCATTTACTCTTAATATAGCTGCAGAACCTCTTGGGATTATCTTCAACCTTATTTGCCAGATCCATCTCATACCTTATTTTTGCTCTGATTTCCCTCTTAAATATGCTCTTACATGTTTTATAGTCATCTAGGGATTCACTTGAGCCCGATAGCTTAAACCCAATGTATGCCTTTTTCTTTTTCCTGACCAGATCCTCAATATCCCTCGTCAGCCAGAGATCCCTAAACCCGCCAGCTTTTCCCTTCACCCTCACAGGGACATACTGTCCTTGGATTCTTGTTCTCACACTCTTAAAACCCTCCCATTTGCCAGCCGGTCCTTTTCCTTCAAACAGTCTCACCCAATCGATCTCTGCTAGATCCTGCTTAATGGCCTCAATATTGGCCCCGCTCCAGTTTGGCACCTTAACCTGTGGATCTATCCTATCCTTTTCCACATTTATGTTAAAACGAAGAGAGTTATGGTCGCTGGACCCAAAGTACTCTCAAACTGACGCTTCAGTCACTTGCCTCGTTTCCAAAGAGGAAGTCCAGTGTTGCACCTTCCCGAGTAGTGCTTCAAGACACTTCCTTGGACACATTTGACAAATTCCACTCCATCCGGGCCTTTTACACTCTGGCTGGCCCAGTCATTACAGGGGAAATTAAAATCTCCAACCAATACTGCCCAGTTATTCCTACAGGTATCTGCAATCTCTGTACATATCTCCTGTAGTACCCCTTGGCTATTTGGGCGTCTATAATACACTCCCAACAGAGCGACCATCCCCTTCTTGTTTCTAAGTTCTAACCATATGGCCTCATTTGATGACCCCCCTTAGGAATATCCTCTCTAAGCGCTGTTGTTATGTCCTCCCTTTACAAAAGGGCAATTCCTCCTCTTCACTTACTTGTACTTCTGTCACACCTGTAGCTTCTGTATCCAGATACACTGAGTTGCCAGCCCTGTCCCTCTCTCAGCCCTATTTCTGTTGTGGCTATGATATCCCAGTCCCCAGAGCCAATCCATGCTCTGAGCTCAACTTCCTTATCAGTCAGGGCCTCGTGCGTTGAAAGAAATACACTTTAAACCAGAAATCTTTTCCCTCCCTTTACTGTGGCTCTGCCTGTCCTGAATGGTAAACTTACTCTCAACGGCTAATGTATTTCCTCCTGACTTCTCTCTTATTCAGAGTCCCATCCCACCCCACCCCAAACCAGTGACAGCAGTAAATCTCCCCACAAGGATATTGTACCCGCTCTGGGTTAAGTGTGACCCATCCCTCTTGCACAGGTCACCTCTACCCCACCTCTGCCCTCTCCATTTTCTGCATATTCATGCGTTTATCATCCTCTCCTTGCACCCTCTCCGCACCCTTCCTGTAACGTTGCGGCCAGAATTTGAATGCAATGCTCTAAAGTGCGGCCTGAGCAAAGTCTTCCAAAGCTGCAACATGACATCCCGACTCTTGTACTCGATTCCCCGACCTATAAAGGCAAGCCGTGCCATAGAGATAGTAGGACCTGCCGATGCCGGAGAATCTGAGATCACGAGGTGTGGAGCTGGAGGAACGCAGCAGGCCGAGCAGCATCAGAGAAGCAGGAATCAGAGCATTTCTGAAGAAGGGTCCAGACCCGAAACGTTGGCTTTCCTGCTCCTCTGATGCTGCCTGGCCCTGCTGTGTTCATCCAGCTCTACACCTTGTTATCTAAGCCGTGCCATACAACTTCCTTATCACCCTGTCTACATGCGCGGCCACTGTGGAAGTGCATTGGACGCTAAGCTCCCCTTTAGTTGTCGAAAACATGAAATTTATTCAGACTGCCCAAAGTCCCCGGTTTATTTGACTGAGGAACACAGTCCAGGAAAATCACTGCTTATTCTGAATAAACTGTGATGCGCAACGAGAAACGGGAATGGCCACCTTACAACTTCAACTCCACCCCTTCGCACACGGAAGAAAAAGAGAGAGAGGCACTCAAAGCCAAATGGGGTGTGACGAGAGAACGAGGAAGAATAAATCTCACATTTAGGCAACGACTGCATCTCGTTCGAGAAAACAGACGGCAAACAGCAGTGATTTGGAAAGCTACAACCGCAGGCTCGGGAACAGGCACACTCACACCACGCACAGACGCAGCAGAGACAACGCGTCTCAAGAAAGAAGGGGGAATGGAAACACGGTCTTCTAAGACGAAAGATGGAAGCCGACCATTTCGCAAATTTCCACTGGATTTCCCGGCAACGAAATCGAACGGCTGACCGCAGCGATGGGCGGGAATACTTCGATTGAGAGGGTGATAAGTCATTCAGTCCATCCGATGCGATCTCGGGCCATCCAGGTCTCAATCCCATACTCCCTGTCCTGCCCGAGGACTCCTGAGAGTCAGAAACTGGCAGTACACTCAAGTCACTGAGAGTCTTCAAGGGGCTAGAATAATCCAAAGAGTAACAGCTCTCAGGGACAAACTCTCTCTCTCGAAGTCACTCCACAAACCCCTGTTATTGTGAACTCCCTCGGCATTGTCCCTCTACCAGGACAGGGGGTTAGATACAGAGTAAAGCTCCCTCTACACTGTTCCCCCCCCATCAAACACTCCCAGGGACAGGGACAGCACAGGGTTAGATACAGCATAAAGCTCACTATACACTGTACCCCCTTCAAACACTCCCAGGGACAGGGGGTTAGATACAGAGTAAAGCTCCCTCTACACTGTCCCCCCCTCCCTCAAACACTCCCAGGGACAGGGGGTTAGATACAGAGTAAAGCTCCCTCAACACTGTCCCCCCATCAAACACTCCCAGGGACAGGGACAACACAGGGTGAGATACAGCGTAAAGCTTATTCTACACTGTCCCCCCATCAAACACTCCCAGGACAAGGGGTTAGATACAGAGTAAAGCTCTCTCTACATCGTCCCCGCCATCACACACTCCCAGGGATAGGGGGTTAGATACAGAGTAAAGCTCCCTCTACACTGTCCCTGCCATCAAACACTCCCAGGGACAGGGACAGCATGGGGTTAGATACAGAGTAAAGCTCCCTCTACACTGTCACCCCATCAAACACTCCCAGGGACAGGGACGAGTAATGTTTTGTGAAAAAACATAACCAAATATCTTTTAAGATATTTTATTTCAGTTTCTGTTTTGAAGAATCCAACAAAAGCTCTTCCCAGCCACGGCACATCTTTCCTGGTCTTTGCCTGTTTCTTATTGCCTCTGCCGTCCGCCTGATTCTGCGAGGGTCGGGGTTACAGTCAGTGCACCGTGTGTACTGTCTCACTAGGAGAGACCAAACAGCCCTTAGCAAACCTCACAGGGATATATACACACTGCAGTCAGAGATGTGATGACCCACAGCACACAGTTACTGACACACCAACAGGCAAACACTGAGTGACACCGACACACCGACAGTCACACACTGAGTGACACCGACACACCGACAGTCACACACTGAGTGACATTGACAGTCACAGAGTGACACTGACATACCGACAGTCACACACTGAGTGACAGTGACACACCGACAGTCACACAATGAGTGACAGTGACAAACCGACAGTCACACAATGAGTGACACACCGACAGTCACACACTGAGTGACACCAACACACCGACAGTCACACACTGAGTGACACTGACACACCGACAGTCACACACTGAGTGACACTGACACACCGACAGTCACACACTGAGTGACACCAACACACCGACAGCCACACACTGAGGGACATTGACAGTCACACACTGAGGGACATTGACAGTCACACACTGAGTGACAGTGACAGTCACACACTGAGTGACA